AGACCATTGAGAGTGTGTATGCTAGTAGGCCAGACCTTAAAGACACCCCCTTGCTTAACGCAGACCTCGAATTATATATGGATAGAAGCTGCTTTATGAAAAATGAGATCCGAAGAGCAGGATATGCTGTGGTCACATCATGGGACACCGTTGAAGCGGAAGCCTTACCTCCAAATACGTTTGCGCAAAGAGCTGAGCTTATTGCATTGACCTGAGCTCTTCACCTGGCAAAGGGAAAGATGGCCACGATCTACACAGACTCAAAGTATGCTTTTGGAGTTTTACACGCACATGGAGCTATATGGAAAGAGAGAGGAGTCTTGACAGTGAATAAAAGCCCAGTAAAGTACGGGACGGAAATTTTGAGGCTACTCAAGGCTGTGATGGAACCAGTTAAAGTAGCTGTGGTACACTGTAAGGGCCACCAGAAGGGAGACAGTGAGATCATAAGAGGAAATCGGCGGGCCGATGCTGCAGCAAAAGGAGCCGCTAGAGAACCAGTCCAAAAGACTCCAATACTGGCATTGGTGCCTCAAGTGGTACTACCGGAAGGACCCCCGAAGTACACTGAAAAAGAAAATCAACTTGCAGAGAAATTGGGAAGCAAAGAACAATGAGATGGATGGTGGGCTTTGCCCAAAGGATGGGTCCTGGTGCCGAGACTGATTCTCAGTAGAGTGCTCCAAGAGTATCACCAGGGCACTCACCTGGGTGCCGACGCCATGACCCAAGGTCTCCAAAGAATCATAGTGGGACCCAGAATGAGGAAAATGGCAGAACAGATAGTGCGAAGGTGTTCTGTCTGCTGTGCCAACGATCCTAAGATTTCGCCCAAACCCCCACCAGGAGCAGGAAGACAAGGTCTAATAGCAGGCGAATGTTGGCAGATAGATTTCTCTGAAGTTCCCAGGAAGGGACACTACAAATACCTGTTAGTACTCATAGACACCTTGACTGGATGGACTGAGGCTTTCCCGTGTCGAACCACTCAGGCGAGGGAAGTAGTTCGAGTGATACTAAAGGAGATAATTCCACGATTCGGAATTCCGGAAGGACAGGCCTCGGACCGAGGGCCGCACTTTGTGTCAGAAATAACCCAAGGAGTTTCCCGAGCTCTGGGAATACAATGGGACCTTCACACAGCTTGGAGGCCACAGTCTAGTGGACAGGTAGAAAGGATGAATCAGACACTAAAGAGGCAATTGGCTAAACTCTGCCAGGAGACTCAGTTAAAATGGCCTGAAGCTTTACCCCTTGCCTTACTTAGAGTGCGTATAGCCCCTAGAGCAAAATTGGGGGTTAGTCCCTTTGAATTACTGTATGGTAAGCCATATCCTAAGAATCCGGTGGGGACGCATGGGAGCCAGATGCATGTTAAAGGAAAAAGTTGGGTAAAAGATTATTTGCACTCTTTGTCTGCTGTGTTGTCTTCTCTCCACAGGTATGTCCAAGAGCGACTTCCACTGCCTTTAGATACTCCAGTCCACAATTTCCAAATTGGAGACGAGGTTTTGGTCCGAACGTGGAAAGACGAGCCTCTTCAGCCCAAGTGGAAGGGACCATATCCTGTGATCCTCACCACTCATACGGCAGTGAAGGTCCAAGGGGTAAAGCCGTGGATCCACTATACCAGGGTAAAGGCCACACCGGAAGTTTCTTCCGAGGGAGCAGTTGCTGAGAGTGTCGCACCGGAAGCCGACACAAACGGACATCGCTGGATAGCAGAGCCTGTGGAAGGACTTAGATTCTTGTTTAAACATCAGCCATGTAGAAAGCAGTTCTTTACTTAAGTCTAGGGTTTCTAGGGTCGAAGGGATTGTTACATCAAAAATTAAAAAAAAAAAACAAAATGTGTGGATTTACTTGGCAAAAGAGGTGGTGAACACAACTCATTTCTGTTTGGCTGGTGGAACATCAGTTCAAGATGTGTTTACCTCATGCCTCATAGGGGTGCCCACTCCATTAAAAACGCTCCAAAGTCAGATTTGGCTGAAAAACTTCGACCTTTCAGGGTTTAATTTCTGGAATACGGCCTATGAGTGGGGACCCATTACTCAGAAGAAAAACGTTAGTAACTTTTCGATAGATTTGCTGACCGTGACCTCACCTAGTAACACCAGTTGTGCTCAATTTGTAAATTGTACCAAAGTTTGTGAAAACCTAACCCGAGAGAAAGGGACTTTCAATTGTTCAAACAAAACCAATGTGTCTTATGGTACTGGTAATGTCATACTACCCTCAGGATG